CGAATTTGACTTGAAATGTGATCCAAATGATACCCAGACAGATTGAATGCTTTATTTTTCCTGCATAAAATACAACAAAAGCTCATTTGCTAGTAAGACCGCATAACCTCCACCATTATTATGACATACAGAAAGATTCTTATAAATCGGTTTACTCATTTGATCTAATATAGCAGCTTTTGATGCCTTTGTCAACTTCATTTATGCATATTTGTATGCATGTAATCTAAATGCAATAATCTATGTGAAAAGTGTGTGCAGCATCCACATCATCCATCTATTTTATTACATATTAAATAGGGGCTTAAAAGACAGATATCATTGATCTTACTGTACTGACACTGACAGATGAGAACACAAAAACTTGAAGTGAGTTGAGCTTAATAATAACACTTTACAGATTATATTGTAGACGTTTCAAAATCGATAAATGTTGCAACATTAAAACTGTTATTTAACTGTTTATTACCTGTTTATTTTATTATTAAGAAATAAACTGAATTATATAAAGTGCTATTTAAATGCGACTTGACTATACATTTTCTCAATGTCAGATGTAAAGAGTTAATGTTTGTCAATGGTACTGTATTTCACTGTACAGTATGTTATAAAACCATCAGAAATCAGTTTTTCTTAGCTTTCTTTTTTTGGGGGCCCATATTTTACATTGGACATCAAGTGGAGACTCAAAAAAAAAGCCAAAATTACAATAGAAAATTTAAAATTTGAAGGTTTCATCATGCTCTCGGCAGCCAATAATTCATCACACAACACAATGTTCAAAAGAAACTTTTAATCCAAGTAACTGGGACAATATTGTCAAGTTTGATTGGAAGATATCGCAGACATTTTCTGCTGACTTTTAAACGTTAATATTTATTTTGCTATCCTAAATATGTATGTATATGCATTTTAAAATGTATTGCATTTAGCGTTGTTTTTCCTTCTGCCCCGCAACCTTTTCACAGCACACATCTAAATGATAAATAATTAATAATATAATTAAGTGAATTAATAACAATATATGTGTGCTGTTCTGAATATTTACATAACATTTGAGAAAAAATGAAAATGTTAAATAAAAGTAAAATAGAATAGAACATGGAAGTTTGTAATGTATTTATTTTTTTGTCTGTTTTGTGATACTAAAAATACATGTAAATTATAAATGTACAAATTAAGTCTAATAAAGGATTACAAAAAGAACCAAAAAATTTACAAATTAATACAAAAATAAATTAAGGACTACATTATCTGGGGGGTGGGGGGTAATTGTTAATTACTTATTTATTTTAATTAATTAATTAATTTTCTGTATAGTTAATTACATTTTATTATTTGCATTTAGCATTGTTTTTTCCTTCTGCCTGCAGTCCAACCCTATCAGGACACACAGCTAAATGACTCTTGTAAATATTAACTAACCGGTATCTCATTATTCCTTATTCACAGATGTCTGGAAGTGCCACTGTCGCTCAGCGCCGCCACATCGGACTCCAGCAGTTAGAGGCCATAGCTGCCACCACACGTGGCTTTCTGGGCCCCAACAAACGGCCCAAGTTCATCCAGGATGAAGACGCTGGGGATGCGGTGTTGGTCAGCTCCTGTTCCCGTCTGCTTGAGCATATCGAGCTGGACGGCTCAGTCGAACAACTGCTACAAGAGATGGTACAGGCACAGCAGAAGGTCTTCCACTCTGGGACGGGTGCGCTGGTGTTTCTGGCTGGAGTCTGGAGTAGAGTTGCTTTAGAGTGTCTAAACAGAGGAATAACTGTGTTGGATATCAAAACAGCCATGAGGAAAGGACTGGAGGTGTGTTTGGAGGTATGCAAACAATCGGCTGTAAGTGTGGAAGACGTTTCTTGCCAGAAACTAAAGGAGCGCAAACCTACTTCAGCTCTTAAATCTGAAATCCAGGATTCAGAGATGCAGAACATGGATGTTAAACTCTCTCAGAATCTCAGGTTGACACTCAAACACAGCAGACACTTTAATTTACAGACTGAAAACACACAAACAGCTCTGAATGATGTAAGTCGCATAGCGCAAGCCGTCAGCCACGGATGCGACTCCTCCATGCGTTTAGTTTTAAAAGCATGCAAGTTGCAATCCAAAATCGCAGAAGATGCACAAAACAGATCTTTGGATCTTCAAAAGCTGGTCACGTGTCTCATTCCAGGCCTGTCTGAGGAGAAATCATGTGTGTTACATGGCTTTGTCACATTGCTGTCAGTCGAACAGGCGTCTGTGGTTTGGCGCCTTCAGGGTCAGGCGTTAAATATCGCTTTAGTGAACGGCGATTTGTGCGAGAAGTATCGCCACGTGGGTTTCAACAGGCCTGCGAAAGTCGTGCACATCACAGATCGTGCTAACATGTCAAGCGTGAGTCTGGAAGAGCGTTGGATTGAGGATGCATTAAGAAAACTGCATGAACTCAGCATAGATGTTGTGCTTGTGAGCGGCACGGCTGGTGTGAAACTCAAAGACCGAGTTCTCGGGGCAAACGTCCTGGTTGTCGAAGGTGTTAAAAGCAGCGTTTTGAGTGACTTCAGCACACGCACAGGCGCCGTCACGGTTTCATACGTCACACAGATTGACGAGAACTGCGTGGGACGGGCAGTTACAGTCAGTCCATGGAGAGATTTCAGTGGAAAAAATGATTTAGTCGCGGTCAGCATTGTGACTGCAAGCACGTCTCTGGTCACGGCGGTCATAAGCAGCTCTGTATCTGCTAAAGTACAAAGCTTGGAGGATCAATTCTGGAGCTGTGCTCATCGGTTGCACCAAGCACTCACAGATGGGAAGTTGCTGCATGGCGCAGGAACCACCGAACTCCTTTGCATCCAGCAGCTTCATCAGTCTAAACAGACAGAGATGGAAAACCCACAGGAAGGTGTGGTGCTGGAGCTGATGGCCGAAGCCTGGATGGATTACGTCTCCACTTTGATGCTGAACAGCGGGTCGGTGGCGTCTAAAGCAGAGGCTTGGACGGCTATTGCACATCAGATGAGACTTTATAAAGATGGAGAAGCCATATCACGGGATGCAGATGGAGCTGGTGTGTATGATAACGTGACAGTGAAGTCTGAAGCCTGGAGGAGAGCTCTTGATCTGGTGTTTTTGGTGCTTCAGTCTGACACAGAGATCATTACAGGTGTCAGTGAAGGAGAAAATGTTTACAGTGAGCTCATGTATCTTTGATATATGAGGCGTAATTAATTTTTCAAAAAGAATTGAAATCTTTTTTATTTTCATTATATACTCTTTACTCTGAAGATGCTTGTGGGGTCTTTTCTATACAAGTAGGCTGGAAATGTTTTTTACGTAAAAATACGCTCCAGTGCATGACGTTATGAGTGCGGTTCTGAAAATCTGCGTAATATTTCATGACCTGAAAAAATATATGGAAATGTTAAAGTAAAATTTAATAGAACATGAAAGTTTTTTAGTATTTACTATTTGTCTGTTTTATACAAAAATACATGCAAGTTGGAAATGTAGAAATTATTAAGTCTAATATATGATTACAGAAAATGCCTAAAAAAAAGGAGTAAATACATAAATTCAGGACTAAATTGTCTAGGAAAAATTGGGTGATTATTTATTTATTGATTCATTCATTCATTCAATATAGACTACAGATTTGGATTTTTATATTATTATTATTTTTTAAATAATATAGTCTCCTCATTGTTTGATAGAAAGGTATCCAGTACAGATGGTAATACCAAGATTTTTAAGTACATTGGTATATTATTTAATATCTATATATCCTTCAAATCCTCATTTGATTTTCATTTGAACCTTTTTTTTAGCGTACAATACTGCCACAAAGTGGCCATAAATGTGCACTGCATGTAAAGACTATATTAGTGTTTTTTTTTTTTTTAGGTTTTTATTTCGTTGCCAAGGTTCCCAAAAAAACTGATGATTGCGAGCGCCTGTATACAATATTGTGATAGTGTGATATTACAAATAATATATGATTACAGAAAATGCCTAAAAAAAAGGAGTAAATACATAAATTCAGGACTAAATTGTCTAGGAAAAATTGGGTGATTATTTATTGATTCATTCATTCATTCAATATAGACTACAGATTTTTATTTTTATATTATTATTATTTTTTAAATAATATAGTCTCCTCATTGTTTGATAGAAAGGTAACCAGTACAGATGGTAATACCAAGATTTTTAAGTACATTGGTATATTATTTAATATCTATATATCCTTCAAATCCTCATTTGATTTTCATTTGAACCTTTTTTTTAGCGTACAATACTGCCACAAAGTGGCCATAAATGTGCACTGCATGTAAAGACTATATTAGTGTTTTTTTTTTTTTTAGGTTTTTATTTCGTTGCCAAGGTTCCCAAAAAAACTGATGATTGCGAGCGCCTGTATACAATATTGTGATAGTGTGATATTACAAAGGCAACGTGTTATTTCCTACGTTAAATAATTGGGTTGTATATTGTAAACGTAACATTTTACTTTTATCTTGAAAATATTTATTTGGATTACGTTTAGAGCATATATCTTTGTTTCCCATCTGCTATTAAAGTAATGTATAAATCTGAAAAGAAACATGTTCAACTCAAATCAAATTTATTTGCATAGCACTACAATAAATATCATTCCCAAAAAAATTCTATACTGAATTATATGGAGATTATTTTATTTATGGTGAAAGCTAGGTCTGTCAATACAGCTCACAACAGATTGTACAAAGCAGAATGAAACGGATTATATAAATGTTTTAAAAAATAATCTTATAATTGCGTTAAACACATTGAATTAATATATTAAAATAACATATTTCTCTGTATTTTAATGCTGCGGTGGGACACAAGTTCAATCAAATATACCTACAGAGCACACTTAAAAACAAACTATATAAAATATGATATAAATAATAATAATAATAATTGTATTATCGGTGGTGCTAAAGACTTTTATTTTGAAGTTCCGCTAGCTCTTGAGGCAATTTAGGCTCCACGGTGGCTGGTTTCGCCTGCAGTGAGTTGGGCGGCTCATGCAGACAAACATCGGCTGAGTCCCGTTCATTCTGGCATGATTAAAACTCACACATTTACCGCATCTAGACAGTGAAAGTGCTCGTGAAGCCATGTGGATTACCCCGGAGGAGGTGTTACTGGCCAACGCGCTGTGGGTGAGCGAGCGGGCGAATCCGTTTTTCATTCTGCAGCGGAGGAAGGGACACGGGCGCGGAGGAGGCATCACGGGTATGAGCTGGATGTTACCTAAATATGAACGATCGGGCCCGTGTGCATGACAGATCACTCATGCATAATCAAGGATAGTTTATCAAGACCGTTATACTTGCTGCTAAATCATTATAACTTGTTATAATATGTAACTTAGGTGGGTTTGTTTTGGTCGCATCTCTTCATTGATGCTGACTGTGTTTGCGTCATCTGTTTATTTATATCTGACAGATCTGTGAGATATAAGTTTATTCCATTTTTCTAATGTTAAGAAACAGTAATAAATAAATTACAGATGGTTGAAATGATACATTTAACATTTCTATGTGCCCGATATTTGCCATATAAAACACACTCATCACAGATTTCCTTTTTAAAAAAAATCTACAACAGCAATAACTGTTACCCTTCAGATACTATGATCCTTTGATTTTTTACCAGATTTAGTGCTGTTAAATCGATTAATCGCGATTAATCTAATCCAAAATAAAAGTGTGTTTACATAATATATGTGTACTGTTTATATAAATACACACACACACATGTATAAATGTAAGAAATATTTACATATACATTCATATAGTTATATATATATATTACATTTATTTCTTAAATATATACACGTGTGTGTATTTTATATATACATATAAACAGTACACACACATATATTATGTAAACAACACAAACATTTATTTTGGATGCGATTAATCGATTTAACAGCACTAATACATACATTATATATATATATATATAGATATAGATATAGATATATATAGATAGATAGCATGAAACTAGAAAAATAATAATTATTAATATACATTGTGTGTTTTGTGTGTCATGACAATATATTACTTTATTATCTTATATTATTCCCTCCTGAGAAAGATGTTCATATGCGTTTCCATAGCACCTAAAAAACAGACAACAGACAAAAACAGGCACTTTTTAAGACGAGTGGCTCACATGACCGCAGAATGATGGCATTCACCCCTGAACCCGACTATAAACTCAATTACGTTTGGAAGACCTCAGCAACGCCTTGTTGTTGTCTGGAAGTTACATCATACGGGTGTTTTGTCATACTTCAGTGAGTCTTTTATTAGGTGTGATTTGTGTTAATGCCATGCTTGTGTAATACATAACACATGACGCATTACATATTCCAACAACACTTTATTCCTTTTGAAGAAGCCTGTTAGTGTCTATGTGTCTGTCAGAATCACACATTAACTGATCATGTGACCGCTGTTGGAGGAAGTCAAAATGTGTGTGACAAATGGCATGGCCTGTCTTACATTCCTCTCTCACACATGACTGTTTATCTGGGTGAATATGTGTGTGTGTCAGCAATGAGAACTGAAGGAAACCACTGTGCTCTGATGCCTGTTATTGACTAAGAGGTTTTTTTTTCTCTTCATACCGCATGTGGATGTGACCTGTGAACTTTTCTCTCTTTCTGTTTTTCTCTCAGGTTTGCTGGTGGGTACGTTGGATGTGGTGTTGGACTCGAGTGCTCGCGTGGCTCCGTACAGGATCCTGCACCAGACGGGAGAGTCACAGATCTTCTGGAATATTGCTTGTGGTCCGTATTTAAGTCTGTAGAACATAATTTGATATCCGGGTCCGAAATGTACACAAAATAGGGATGTGCACGCATGCTTAGAATGCAGACATCCCAGCAATGATGAAAAAGCAACAACTGCATGATTTTAGTTTCAAAATATTTCATTAGTTGGTGCTTGCTTAATATATAATATTATATATTATATAAATATTTTTTTTCAGTGGTTTTAGTTATTAGACGTAGTTGATTTGTCTTTCTCCAGACAAATTGATTAGTCTGGATTTGTTTAGTCAGGTGACAGATAACAAAGGAAACTTTGTCTTGATGTTTTCCTAAAAAGTTACTCTTTGACTTAACCTGTAGTTCTTTTACCCGCGTTCATTTATTACCATCATCTCAGCGTTGCCTGCACCTGCAGTGATGAAAATCTGGAGAGTGACTGACGGTGTTGTGTCACATTGACCGTATCTCCTGTGTAAACCTCACCTGACCTTTAAACAGCCGCCCTGAATTTGAGTGACATATTAAAGGCTCTGACACAGTTAAAGGGTTAGTTCACCCAAAAATAAAAATTAGGCTGCGTTTTACTCACCCCCGATGCATCCTAGGTGTATATGACTTTCTTCTTTCAGACGAATCCAGTCGGAGTTATATAAAAAATTGTCTTTGATCTTTCAAGCTCTATCGTTGTACTCAGCGGGTGTTGCATTGCTTCCGTTCAAAAGACGTGATTGTTCACCCCCGGAGCCGTGTGAGACACTTTTTATTAAGGATGGGCGATTTTTATTTCACGTCTTTTGGACAGAAGCAATGCAACACCCGCTGAGTACAGTGATAGAGCTTGAAAGATCAAAGACAATTTTTAATATAACTCCGACTGGATTCATTTGAAAAAAGAAAGTCATATACACCTAGGATACATCGGGGGTGAGTAAAACGCCGCCTAATTTTTATTTTTGGGTGAACTAATTCTTTAATTCCAGTGGTGTATTGTAACGAAGTAATAATACTTCGTTACAGTACTTTAAGTATTTTTTGGGAGTATCTGTACTTTACTTGAGTTTTTACATTTCAGCCAACTTTTACTTTTACTCCACTACATTTCCTAATTAAATTGTATACTTTTACTCCGATACATTTCCCCGAAGCATATTCGTTACTTACTACAAAATAG